TAGAGCCTCCATTTTTGCGCTCAGGTCAAAGTCTCGCGGCCCTCTATCATAATCCAGAGTTTTGAGAAGATTGGAGAAACTTGATTTTTCGCCCGAAAACTGAAAAAAACGTAAGGGGTAACACTGTCGTTTTTTTTCGGGTCGAAATTTTGAGTTTCGATATCTCAGCTCTGGAAGGGTCTAGAGCCTCCATTTTTGCGCTCAGGTCAAAGTCTCGCGGCCCTCTATCATAATCCAGAGTTTTGAGAAGATTGGAGAAACTTGATTTTTCGCCCGAAAACTGAAAAAAACGTAAGGGGTAACACTGTCGTTTTTTTTTCGGGTCGAAATTTTGAGTTTCGATATCTCAGCTCTGGAAGGGTCTAGAGCCTCCATTTTTGCGCTCAGGTCAAAGTCTCGCGGCCCTCTATCATAATCCAGAGTTTTGAGAAGATTGGAGAAACTTGATTTTTCGCCCAAAACTGAAAAAAACGTAAGGGGTAACACTGTCGTTTTTTTTTTCGGGTCGAAATTTTGAGTTTCGATATCTCAGCTCTGGAAGGGTCTAGAGCCTCCATTTTTGCGCTCAGGTCAAAGTCTCGCGGCCCTCTATCATAATCCAGAGTTTTGAGAAGATTGGAGAAACTTGATTTTTCGCCCAAAAACTGAAAAAAACGTAAGGGGTAACACTGTCGTTTTTTTTTTGGGTCGAAATTTTGAGTTTCGATATCTCAGCTCTGGAAGGGTCTAGAGCCTCCATTTTTGCGCTCAGGTCAAAGTCTCGCGGCCCTCTATCATAATCCAGAGTTTTGAGAAGATTGGAGAAACTTGATTTTTCGCCCAAAAACTGAAAAAAACGTAAGGGGTAACACTGTCGTTTTTTTTTGGGGTCGAAATTTTGAGTTTCGATATCTCAGCTCTGGAAGGGTCTAGAGCCTCCATTTTTGCACTCAGGTTTAAGTCTCATGGCCCTCTATCAGAATCCAGAGTTTTGAGAAGATTGGAGAAACTTGATTTTTCGCCCGAAAACTGAAAAAAACGTAAGGGGTAACACTGTCGTTTTTTTTTTCGGGTCGAAATTTTGAGTTTCGATATCTCAGCTCTGGAAGGGTCTAGAGCCTCCATTTTTGCGCTCAGGTCAAAGTCTCGCGGCCCTCTATCATAATCCAGAGTTTTGAGAAGATTGGAGAAACTTGATTTTTCGCCCAAAAACTGAAAAAAACGTAAGGGGTAACACTGTCGTTTTTTTTTTTCGGGTCGAAATTTTGAGTTTCGATATCTCAGCTCTGGAAGGGTCTAGAGCCTCCATTTTTGCACTCATGTTTAAGCCTCATGGCCCTCTATTAGAATCCAGAGTTTTGAGAAGATTGGAGAAACTTGATTTTTCGCCCGAAAACTGAAAAAAACGTAAGGGGTAACACTGTCGTTTTTTTTTTCGGGTCGAAATTTTGAGTTTCGATATCTCAGCTCTGGAAGGGTCTAGAGCCTCCATTTTTGCACTCATGTTTAAGCCTCATGGCCCTCTATTAGAATCCAGAGTTTTGAGAAGATTGGAGAAACTTGATTTTTCGCCCAAAAACTGAAAAAAACGTAAGGGGTAACACTGTCGTTTTTTTTTTGGGTCGAAATTTTGAGTTTCGATATCTCAGCTCTGGAAGGGTCTAGAGCCTCCATTTTTGCACTCATGTTTAAGCCTCATGGCCCTCTATTAGAATCCAGAGTTTTGAGAAGATTGGAGAAACTTGATTTTTCGCCCAAAAACTGAAAAAAACGTAAGGGGTAACACTGTCGTTTTTTTTTCGGGTCGAAATTTTGAGTTTCAATATCTCAGCTCTGGAAGGGTCTAGAGCCTCCATTTTTGCGCTCAGGTCAAAGTCTCGCGGCCCTCTATCATAATCCAGAGTTTTGAGAAGATTGGAGAAACTTGATTTTTCGCCCGAAAACTGAAAAAAACGTAAGGGGTAACACTGTCGTTTTTTTTTCGGGTCGAAATTTTGAGTTTCGATATCTCAGCTCTGGAAGGGTCTAGAGCCTCCATTTTTGCGCTCAGGTCAAAGTCTCGCGGCCCTCTATCATAATCCAGAGTTTTGAGAAGATTGGAGAAACTTGATTTTTCGCCCAAAAACTGAAAAAAAACGTAAGGGGTAACACTGTCGTTTTTTTTTTGGGTCGAAATTTTGAGTTTCGATATCTCAGCTCTGGAAGGGTCTAGAGCCTCCATTTTTGCGCTCAGGTCAAAGTCTCGCGGCCCTCTATCATAATCCAGAGTTTTGAGAAGATTGGAGAAACTTGATTTTTCGCCCAAAAACTGAAAAAAACGTAAGGGGTAACACTGTCGTTTTTTTTTTGGGTCGAAATTTTGAGTTTCGATATCTCAGCTCTGGAAGGGTCTAGAGCCTCCATTTTTGCGCTCAGGTCAAAGTCTCGCGGCCCTCTATCATAATCCAGAGTTTTGAGAAGATTGGAGAAACTTGATTTTTCGCCCAAAAACTGAAAAAAACGTAAGGGGTAACACTGTCATTTTTTTTTTTGGGTCGAAATTTTGAGTTTCGATATCTCAGCTCTGGAAGGGTCTAGAGCCTCCATTTTTGCACTCATGTTTAAGCCTCATGGCCCTCTATTAGAATCCAGAGTTTTGAGAAGATTGGAGAAACTTGATTTTTCGCCCGAAAACTGAAAAAAACGTAAGGGGTAACACTGTCGTTTTTTTTTCGGGTCGAAATTTTGAGTTTCGATATCTCAGCTCTGGAAGGGTCTAGAGCCTCCATTTTTGCGCTCAGGTCAAAGTCTCGCGGCCCTCTATCATAATCCAGAGTTTTGAGAAGATTGGAGAAACTTGATTTTTCGGCCAAAAACTGAAAAAAACGTAAGGGGTGACACTGTCGTTTTTTTTTCGGGTCGAAATTTTGAGTTTCGATATCTCAGCTCTCGAAGGGTCTAGAGCCTCCATTTTTGCACTCATGTTTAAGCCTCATGGCCCTCTATTAGAATCCAGAGTTCCCAGAGTGCTCCCTCCCACAGGTGGAGAAATTTTTGAATTAACAAATAAGAAAAAAATTGACTTTTCCTCTTTTATTATAGAACACATACAAACTACTTAGGCAAGGCGCATCTCTCTCCATGACGGTGAGAGACACATTTATACATTAGGCAGTAAATGAACCAAGAACATCTGATCTAACATTAACACACATAACTATCACAAAAACTTAAAGATCTTACTGCAATAACACAACTCTCAATAAAAAAATTCCCATAAAATTACACATAACCTGCAGCAGTCTTGTCTGTCTTCTCTTTAGCAACAGTATTTTTGTCTACTTATATTCTATACTTGAGTTTACATTTTTTTAAATGAATTTGACTAATAAAAAGTGTGGATTGGTGCTTTATCCTGGCTTTTTAAAATAGTTGAATGAATGATCGCGAGATGCGATCGTAGATCAGAACGCCCGCAGCATAGAGGAGAATGAGTCAACTCTGAAAATTAATTAAGCATTTTGGTCATGTTAAAGGGTGTATTGGATGGGCTTTTATTCCGGGTGTGGTTTTATTTGTTGGAAAAATAAATATAGAAATATAATTTGACACAAGAGGGCAGTAAAGCACTATTTATGGTTGTGAGTTTAAACTAACCGTGACATCTACACGTTTTACTTATTAGCCTGCTTCATTAAAAACGTGACATTTAGACATTTTCTTCGGCGTGGATCCATGCAAATGAATCATTTTCACCTTGAAAATAATACAAGTTTTGTTGTTTTTTTTGTGTTTTTTTTGTTTTTTGCATTTTAAATAATAGAACATTTCTCAGTGATCGTAAATAAAACAAAATTCCATTTTCTCGGTTTAATGAAAACCAATAGGTCGTTATGGCAGAGGCGAATAACGCAAACGACTAAATAAATAGTCTAGAAATAAATTGTCAAAATATTGACGTAATTCGAATCAATAAGGTTTAATGTTGTTTTAGAGCTATGAATTATCTTCAACTTGCATATTGGTCATTTAACTCCCCTGTGATGTCTCTTGGTGTATTTAGTATCAGTACTCTCAACTGAAACTTTTGTTATGTCTACTATACTATTATTACTATTTCACCAATTTCATGTTTTTATTTGGATTAAGGGTAAATATAAAAATATATTATTTTAGTGTTTATGTGTGACGTTATATTCGTCTCTTAACATGAGAGAGATACAACATGAGATATTCGTCTCTTAACATGAGAGAGATACATGTGAAACTCATTTGTATCTCTCTCTCTCTCTCAGAGTTGAAGCCATTCCTGCAGCAACTGGTGGAAAACGGGGGATCTTTTTGGTGCTTTTATAATTTATCTATTTATCTAACATAAATAATTTTGTTCTTTCGTATAATATAAATAAATACATATGTATATATAAATAAATTCATGCTTGAATCATTCTCGAGTTTTGCCTTCTGCTATTCTGGCCATATCATTTAGTGACTGCATGTGCTGATTCCATCGTTATTTTATCTGATAATGAGCAAATTAGTTAAACTTGAGTAGGTTAATCAATATACAGCATAATTCAAGAAACTAGGGCTCACACCACTTTTCAGTTGAATAAGATTGATATACATTTTTAATTTGTTTTGTATAAATTTACATTTTTGTAAATGTCTCTGATGCATTTTGAATGAAAAAACACATTTTATAAAAATACTCCTGAGATTAAATGTCTTTCGAACTATGTACGTACAAATTAAAACAAGGGTCCTGTAACCGGGGTCCTAAAGCTGCAGCCTCCGATTGTGCAGGGATTTGCTCTGAACAACTGACATTGGTTATTTTAACAAAAAGTTATCACACTTGCATAAATGGGTCATTTTTTAACCATATGTGTAAACTTGATGTATTAACACAAAATATTACATTAAAAAAAATCATTTGTGACCAAGATATGATGAACTATGATGATATTTTGATATGCTAAACTCATAAAACCTGTACAGAAGAGGAAGCGAGAGATTAACTGTTTTTTTATGTATTAGAATATTGTGCAAAAGTTCATTTATTTCGGTAATTCAACATAGCTATATGCCGTAATCATCAAATTTATAACACATAAAGGCATGAAATATCTCACTTTGCTTATAATGACTAATGAGTAGATTATATATTAGTATATGATTTAAGGTTTACATAAATTCCATTCTGCCATTTCAAAGTAATTTGCTATAACAGGCATTAACAGGTGAATTCTTAATTTGTAAAAATGCAATATTTCTTTAACCACATAGAAAGAAATGTTTAAAAAAGTTTTTTTTCATTATTTTTTAGAAGGGATAACTATAAGTGCAGTTTGGATCCCATATAATTAAGAAAGAGATAAAAACTCATTTTAGTTTAAGTATAGATGCTCCCTTATATGTTTATTATAGCAAAACCATGATTATTGATTACCATTTGTAACAGAAATACAAAAATAAGGTACATTGTTTACTTGTCATTAACTTACAAAACCAGTGAGCAATGCAAACGTATTGTCTAATACAGCTGTTAAGGGAGTGCTTGTGATTTAGACGATTCCAAGCCTGCCAAAGCGTCACAATTTAACTGCACCAATAATCTGTAGTGCCACATCTCTACACAAATAACCTCATCTTTATTATAAATCAATAACTACTATGATAACAACCATAAACATATTCCGACAGGAAGCAGCGGCATTTTGAGCATGTGTACACGTCACGAATCACATCAAATTGAGTCACGTGCCGTCTTTGGACATGGGCGAGGCTTCCGACGTCACACGTGGATGGGCGTGGCTTCAGACGTCACACTTTGATGTGGGCCGGGTTGGATATCCACCGCAGGATGCAGCGAGCTGTAGTTGTAATAGCTTGCACCTGTTGTACTCCAGTCAGACAGGGGGCGCTAGAGATGCCAAACCTTTGACTGCAATGCATAGCATGAGGGGAAGGCGATCCTGTGGGTTGCTGATTTTTGTAACAAGGGAATCCTTCTCCTTAAGCAAGGTCACATTACAAGAGGCAAAGAGTGCTGTGATCTTCTTGAAAACCTCCTCATCGGCTAACACGGCCAGAACAGCGTCTTTCCAAGAGGACTTCTTATTTAGAGCCATATTTTGCACCTGCATGAAAAAGGACAGGCAAAGAAAGGAAGCGGTTTCAATAGATGTTCAAGTCAATAATAAGGGCTTGGGAATTTTCTGTGCGTTTCAACAAAGACGATTCTGGATTTATGAATAAATTAAGGCCTGTAGTTAACATAACTTGAGACTTTTACTATGTGTGTGAACAAATATCAAGTAAAAATGTGGCATTGTTGCTCATTCTACAGTTCACAATCAAAATGAGCAATTGCTTTGATCTACCGTTGATTAATTATGACTGTTTACATCATACCCGCTTTTCTGTTTTGGTTGCATTGTCTATTATTACCTCCTTGTATTTCCTAATAAAGTAGTGTTTAAAGAAGCACAGCACCAGTTTGTTTGCTGAAGTAACTGGGGAAACTGCTATATTTCTGCTCTTTCATAAGTGCCATCTATTGTCAAAATGAATTTGCTATTTTATTAAGCGTGTCTGCCGTTTTTGTTCAGACAAAATGTGAAGATCGTCACACATTTTACTCTGATTACACAGTGTTGTAAATGTAAACCTGTGGATTGATAAGAAGCTAATGTGAATTTTTAAAACTGTAGAATAAAGGATCTAGAATATTAAATATAATCATTTTAAAAATTAATAATATATAATCATTTTTGACTTGTGCCTCTTCTTTAAAATGCAAAAATCTTTATGATGTTTATAACTTGTTTTAAAAAAATTTGTATTACCGGTATTTGAACTGTGAAGTTGTTTATATCGTAATTTTTAGTCACTTTATGGTTTAGGATGTTAACAAACACTGACCTTGACCCAAAACAACAATAAAAGTCATCTTTACAGTTTACACTGCAAAGTTTTCCCAAACTGCATCTGACATGACATTTGTGTATTTATATAAACGTGTATTTACACAACTGCATTGTTGTAAATAGCCAACAATGAAGTATATCAATTAGAAAACAGGAATTAATTGCAGGGTAGAGGTGGATTATTACAACAATCATCAATTATTGCTCTTGATATTATAATTATTATTAATGTTGATTTAATGAAATACATGAAAACGTTTTAATGTTTCGGGAAATGGCACGTCCAATTGTTGACAAAAGTTAATTATACATTTATCACATTGATTATACAGGACTTTTTTGCCCCAAGCCCCCATTAATTTCAAACCTTGATGATGTGCTGTGTCACTATATTAAAATGAATAAATTACAACTTTTGTTGAAATGTTGAAAATTAGCCAAGGTAGCTAACTGTTTTAGAACTGCCAAATGTTGCATATAGACCCTTTTCTGTTAAAACTCTCGTATAATTGTTCATATAATTGAAATCGTATAATTCAGTCTTACTCGTGAATTTAAGCCATTTTGTGCTTTCAACACACTGCCATTCAAAAGTTTGGGGTCAATAAGATATTATTGAAACAATTCTGTTCCACCAGTACTCACCAAGGCTGCATTTATTTGATTACAAATACAATAAAAACAGTAATGTTGTTATAACATGAATAAATTACATTTTATAATATATTAAAATAGAAAACAGTTATGTTAAATAGACAGCATGACTGAATACCTCTCTTGAACATATTTATTACATGTGGTACAAATACTTGTTTGTGATGACAATATTTCAGTAAGGATACTTACGAGATGGAGCAGGGCTTGCACGGTTGCGTAACTGCAGCAGGATTTGAGCTCAAACAGGGCAGAGTCAGTCATCTCTACAGGGAAACATGAGTGTTTGAGAACAAAGGTCATTTTGACAACAGGTTTATGACAATCGTTATCGCCTTGTTGCTGACAAAAATGCATGTCACGTAAACTTATTACGACCAGACAATTATCTCAGACTTCATCCAACTCACCATCTAATGAGCTGAAGAGCAGATGGGTGGCAGTAAGAGCACTGGGTTTGGTCTGCATTGCAGAGGATTTTGAACCAGCAGCCTTCTGTACAAGCTTCAGTGTTGCCTTCAGACCAGGAACTTCGTCCAACGCACTGAGGTCAGGCTGTGTCCCATTACACAGGTCCTCTAGCTGAGAGGATGACAAAAAAGACCAAAGATGTCTAACATTGGGTCTTATCTATGATTACTATACATCACCATTCAAAAGATCTTGTTTTAGAAATAATTAAAATTTTTGTTCAGCAAGGATGTATTGGTCAAATACAGGATGTATTGCCACTGCAGGTGGCAGCGAACGAAACCTGCCCCGTCCCGTCCAGGAGCCACACATGTAGCCTCCAAAGATCGGGACGAGGGTGCCACAGAGTGCCCCGTCTCTGAGTGAGTACCTTGTCTCAGAGGAATAGGCCAAGGAGGTGCTGTCGCGATGAGCATGAGTTCGGAGAACCACGTCTTGGTGGGCCAATAGGGGGCTACCAGCAAGACCTGCTCCTCGTCCTCCTTGATCTTGCACAACACCCGTGCAAGAAGGCTCACTGGGGAATGCATACTTGTGTGGGCCCCGCGGCCAGCTGTGCGCCAGTGCATCTGTGCCGAGCGTGCCTCGGACAGGGAATAAAACTGGGCGCCGTGGGATGTGTCCCGGGAGGCGAACAGATCTAACTGTGCCTCCCCGAACTGCCCCAATCAGCTGAACCGTCTGGGGATGGAGTCGCCATTCGCCGGAGCTAGGGCGGACACGTGACAGCTCGTCGGCCGCCAGGTTCCGGACTCCTGGAATGTACACTGCACGAAGGGACCTCAGGTACTTCTGACTCCATATCAGAAGGTGGCGGGCGAGCTGCGACAACCGACGTGTGCGTAGACCACCCTGGTGGTTGATGTACGCTACTGTAGCGGAATTGTCTGAACGGATAAGTACGTGTTGACCCCTAAGCAGTGCTCGAAAGCGGTGCAGGGCCAGGCACACTGCCAGCAGCTCGAGGCAATTGATGTGCATGCTAGGCGCTGGGGTCCTGTCCAGGAACCCGCGGCTGCATGCCCATTGCACATGGCACCCCAACCCGTGGTAGATGCATCCGTGGAGACAACGAGATGCCTGGAAACTCACTGAAGAGGGCACCGGCCCGTAAAAAGCTGAGGTTCGACCACGGAGAAGGTTTGGTGGCACGTTGGAGTCACTGGAACTCGGGGCGAGCCGCGATGCCATGCCCACCTCGGGACTCGATCGCGAAGCCACAGCTGAAGCGGTCTCATATGAAGCAATCCGAGCGGCGTTGCCGCGGCAGCGGATGCCATATGCCCCAGGAGCCTCGGAAAAAGTTTCAGTGGAACCGCACTCTTGCCCTCTAACTGTCAAAGACAAGTCAGCAGTGAGTGCGCGCGCTCATTCGTGAGCTGCGGGGACATGGCGACCGAGTCTATCTCCATGCCGAAAAAAAGAGATCCTCTGCACGGGGCAAAGTTTGCTCTTCTCCTGGTTGACCCGAAGGCCCAGACGGGCTAGGTGCCAGAGCACCAGGTCTCTGTGTTCGCAAACCTGTTCTCGAGAGTGTGCCAGTATCGGCCAATCGTCGAGATAATTCAGGATGCGAACCCCGTGTTCGTGAAGGGGAACAAGGGCTGCCTCAACGATCTTCGTGAAGACGCGAGGTGACAGAGCTAACCGGAAAGGGAGAACCGTGTACTGATGCCTGGCCTTGAGGCTAACCGAGAACGGTCTGTGTCGAGGCAAAATGGAGACATGAAAGTACGCGTCCTTTAGGTCGATCGCTGCAAACCAATCCTGAGGCCGGACGCATTCGAAAATGCGTTTGGCTGTGAGCATTATGAACGGATTGAGAGAATGGCTCAAAATGCGCAAATCCAGGATCGGTCGTAACCCACCGGTCTCCTTGGGGACAGTGAGGTAGGGGCTGTAAACCCAGACCTCACCTCGGCTGGAGGGACCGTCTCAATTGCACCCTTCGCCAGCAGGGTCGCAATCTCCGCTCACATGACCGGGGCATAGCCACCGACCACCTTGGAGCGAACTCCCCTGAAACAGGGAGGAGACCTTGCGCACTAAGTCGCGTAGCCGAATCTGATTGTTCTGATGACGCAGCGGGACAGGTCGGGGAGCTCTAACCAAGCTCCCAGGAACTGAGCCAGCGGAGTCATGTGAACCACAGACGTCCCCCCGGAGGGGCAGCGGTACGGGGAGACCGGCATGCGCACAGGAGTTACCTCGTGCGGATGCACAGTCGAGCCCCGTTCCCTGACAGAAGAGACCAGGGAAGGACGCACGTTCCACGGGGGTCTGTTCTGCCGGGGGTCTGGCGATAGAGGGGGAGGGGAGTGGTGTAGTCGAGGGACGACACACGCTCCCATCCGCACCCTCAGAGACAGAGAGGAATGAGCGGGACGACGCACTGGGACGTCGTGCGCGCTCATTCCAGTCTGCATGCTCAATGATAGTGTCAGTTTTTCTTCAACCAGCTCAAGGCGGAGCTAGCTAGAACAAAGATTCTCCACCAGCCCTCCACCGGGAAAAGGAGGGACCCTGCTACCGCCTCCTGTGAAAAACCGTGACACTATCACTGAGCAGCCCGTCTCAGGAACATCGCTTCGCCTGGCGTTAGCGGGGCACGCAGCCTGAGGGGGTTGTGACGCTTACCTGTGGCCTCCTCCACGACGCGAACCGGTTGAAGGCTGCTGCTGGGGCCGCGTGGGAGGGAAGGGAGCCGAAGGGGGCGTCCTTGGCGGCGAGCAGGCGGAGGCGTCTGAGCCGACGGCTGGGTGGAGGCAGCAGCTGGCCATCGGGGCAGAAGTGTAAACCCGCCTCCGTCTGCTCCTAGGCGGTCGAGAACTGCTGGGCGAAGTCCTGGACTGCACCGCCGAAACATTTAGATGATGCTCCTGGACCACAGTGGTGGGCATCACCTGACCAAGGGAGCTAGGGGCCGCTTCCGTTGCCTGTTTGAGAGCGAGGTCGGCGGCAGGCTCGCAGCTCGCTTGGTCCGTCCCCTCCTCGTGCACATTGCTGAGCAGCTAGCAGGTGCTCATCATATGCAGGGCTGAGGCTGCCTGTCCCGCCGCTCTACAGGATCGCGCCTCCGTAGACAACGAGAACCTATAGGCTTTGGATGGGCGTCTGGGAGCACCGCGGGAGGACGCGCCCTGCGAACGCAGCTGCATCGCAACAGAGCGTTCCACCCGGGGAGTCCCAGCGTACCCACAGGCAACCACGTCATCGAGGGGAGGAAAGGCGGGGAAACTGAAGCACGCTCTCGGTCCAAGTGCGTGTCAGTTCCGCATGCAACTTGAGGAAAAAGGAAATTGGGGTTGGCTGTGGCCGTGAGGCGGCAGCGTTACCCAAAAACCAATTATCCAGCCGCGAGAGATCGGGACAGGGCGGAGTTCCACTCCCACCCGATGCTCACGGAGGCCCGAGATAGCATGGCCGTCATCGCGGGATCAGACACGGCGACGTTGACGCTCCCGAGGGAGGCAACGCAGCCGCATCCTCACTTCCCGAGGAGTCAAGCCCGCCTTGTGATGCTGCGCTCGACATCGCATCATCCTCTGGAGCGCTGAACGAAACAGACGGTACCTGCGAAGAGGCAGACGCCTGAAGCGATACAGCGCTCACTGGCTCTAACACTGGAGCGGTGGGTGTGGCCCGAGGAACTAGCGTCGGGGGTTGTGCCACACAATCACCGTCATATCACCCTGTCCGCGAGTCGAAGAGCTTCTAGAAGAAGAAGCAGAACGAGTAACGGACACGGGGACTCTCACTTTATCAGATCATTGAGTCTAGATCACAGTGTAGAGATGCTCATGTTCCCACAGAAGGAACATGAGTCATCCACGAACGCTGCTACTGCATGCTGAAAGCCCAGGCACACAGAGCAGCGATCGTGACCATCAGAAAATGACATGAATCGATCGCACCCAGAAGAACACGGGCGAATCGTCTTTAAAAAGACGTGCCGCGTGCAGCTCTTTCACTAGAGAGGAGGAAATTCACTCTTTCAGCGCTGAGGCGACCAGGGAGAAGCGCAAAGTCTGGCAGACCACTGCTCAGATCGCAGGCAATGCAGAGTCTCGCTGGGTACCGCCGTCACACCAACACTGAAGAGGACGCTCGTCTCGAAGAGTCTTGAATCAGTGAGACTGGCTTGAGGAGTGAAGAATCTCTTGGCTCCGAAGCGAAAACATACTGCGGTTGCGTTCACTTCCTCCTTTTATACTCACGGAGTAGGGCGGAGTACGCTATGCAAATTTCCGCAGCCCCAAGGCATTTCATGCCATTGGCTCGTGATTAAATACTCGAAGAGGATTGGCTTTCTATGCGAAACCCCCAATCTCCGTCACTTCTGACGTAACTCGAAGTGACTACGAAAGGGAACTGCAGTGACTGTGTGATGTTATGTTTCATGTCATTAAAAGCCAAAATCTCTAAAAAAAATGTTTCCAGCGCCTTGTTAAATCTATGCCATTCAGAATTAAGGCAGTACTGGTACTAGTAAGGTGTACCTAATAAAGTAGCTGATGAATGTACACATCTATGGACTCAATGGAACAATCTGAAGTAAGATTCCCGGCTCACTCACAGCGTCCTCCAGCAAGGTGATGGCTTCGCTGTTCTGCAGGAGCTCAGAGATCTGCTGGAATAACGAGCAGCGTGTGTTGAATGGGAGTTTAGAGAGAACCATAAACTGCCCTTGGAGTCCTTCAAGATCTAAAGAAAGAAAGAGGGGGCTGTATAAATTTTTAAAAAAGAATTATGTATAAATTATGACACATTAGTGTCATACTCAACAAAAGGCTTCTCTTTATCTTTAGCCGCGTTTCCACCGCAGGAACTTTCCCCAGGAACTAGGAACTTTGGGGTGGTACTCGGTGTGTTTACACCGCAGGAACCAGGGTCTAAATGAAGTTCCGGGTAAAAATTTCTCCCCCCCAGAAAGTCCCTGCTGGCGAGGTGGTACTTTTTCAGAGTTCAGGAACTTTCGGGGTGGGACTTGTGCGCTGAACATTCTGATTGGTTCTTACCATGCTATTCTTTCTGCCCGATGGTGCGCGTTCGTCCCATCCATCTCACGGTCAATGTCCGCTGATAACAAACGTCTACTTTTATATCTAGCATTACGAGCTTTATGAATACGCTTTGGGTGCTCGTCTCTTTCTGCCGTTTTATTAATTACCTCGTTAGTAAACCAATCGCACACAAAAAGCAGCAAAGCTTGAATCTCCTCCATACAAAACTCAAAAAAAAACAAAAAACACGCAGGCTAGGAAGAGCAGTCGCATGCTGTTCAACGTCACTACATAATCTTCCCGCCCCGGACCGGTACTTTAGTACGCGGTGTAAACGCAGTAGGCAAGCGGTCTGGGGAAAAAAAGTTCCTGGGACAAATAGTTCCTGGTAATTGCGATGGAAACGTGGCTATTTACTGACACCTGTGGAGAAAAGAGAAAAAGACAGGACATGCCTACTCTGGAATGTTGTTACTCGATGTTAATGATACACCCATGGTTATGTCAATAGAAAAGAGCAGGGTGTGTGATTTTTTTTTTTCAAGAAACATAAAAGTTTTCAAAAACTTTGAACTAGTTTTCAGAAACTTTGGGTATTACTGGTGTGTTTTATTTCATATAATAAAATATGAAAATAACTTGAGTTTGTGTTAACCAAAAGTGTTATAAAAATTCTGTCATTATAAAAGATTTCTTAAATGTATTTCTTGTTTTTTCTGTTTATTACATTTCATGTTGTGACACTTCTCTTCTCCCTGCTACGTCAGAGCATCCAAAGTGTCAATAAGATTCCCCGTACATTTTGACAAGCGTCCTTGACAGGGCGACAAGAGCTCATTTGCCGCTCAAGTCAGTGGCGGTGCAAACGTAGGCTTTTAACCACCAGGCTTTGGTTTTGACTTTGGGGACGATGGCACCGGAATTGCTAAAATGCTAACTTGTTTCCAGGTTTTGACCTACAAAAATACATCATCACTGCAGGCTCAAAAACAGACAGTCCCACCCCAAGATCACAGAGCCAATGTTGGTGCGTAAGGCTACTCATAATGCGCAATCAAAAGTGCATGTTTTGATAGTGCCATAGAGCCAAAATATTCACACTTAGCTTTAAAAAAAAGAGGCTTACTTATAGTAGTCTCTGAATAATTATTAATCGATAAAAGAAGGTATTTTGTTCCTCAATAAAATGACTAATTAAACTGTGGGGTTACCTTTCTGCAGTTTGCTGGTGGTTTTCCCTGGTGCAGCACTGACGGAGTTAGCTTGCTTCACCTTCACTAGCCCGTCAACTTCAAAACCTCCTTTTACATTTGGCAGCAGACACAGTTCTGACAAAATGGCCAATGGTACAATCAATCAATTTCTCAAGCAAAAGCAGTAATTGGGACAACACTTCCAATGAGCTACTACAGAATGATAAAACTCAGCTTTAGCAAGACATGCAGACAGAGCAATCAATACCGTAGTGTCCAGTGTGAGCAACCTCGAGTTCAATCACGCTGTAAGCAATAGTGGTTTTAGGGGGGATGTTGATAGACACATTAGTGTCATACTCAACAAAAGGCTTCCCTTTCTCATTGACTGACACCTGTGGAGAAATGAGAAAAAGACAGGACAGTCTGTATTAGGAGGAGCGGAGACATCAGGACCGGACATGCCTACTCTGGAATGCTGTTACTTGATGTTGATGAAACACCCATGGTTCTGACAATAGAAAAGAGCGAGGTGTGTGATTTTGTTTTTGTTTTCACAAAAGAAGAAAGCCTGACCTTTATTGTCTTATTAAACCCGAACATTCCAGTGCAGGTACCACCCCCCTGAACCTCCTCCGTGACAGTGCAGGGCTGGGTGGTGAAGATTCGTTCCTTCACCACCGCCAACACCTCCCTCTGCGTCTCCCGTGTCTGCTGGATCAGAGAGTGCTGCAGGTCCAGAACTCTACAACCACAACACAGATTTAAGTGTGACTAGTTTGTCACGTCTTTTTTTGGTCTACAGTAGGGACGCTAATGATTAATCGACGATCGAATTGTCGATACTAACTTAATCGATAAATCTTCGATAAATATCATCATTAGAGTGTGATCAATAACAAATAAGGCTTTGAATAGAATGAAAACAAAAAACTTTTCTATAAGATAGTTTAGAAAAAATGTGTCACACAAATCCTAAAAAGCGTTTTGATCGCCCTCTGGTGGCTGGTTGCAGTATAGGTCATAAACCCGACCCCATCCATGTAATCAAATGGAGAGCGAGACACAAAATCCAGATGGTTTCTGTCAGTTTAGGAAGTCAGTGTTCATTTTACCAATATGTTTTGTTTTAGTTAGTTATTTGATGCAATAAAAACTGGGTGTAACATCATGATTGACATCTGTGCTTGCGATTGATTCTGCGGGATTGGGACCTTGATACCGCAGCTCCACCTCACGATCACTACTGTGCAGAACCCGGCTTCGAACAACTGTTTCTTGGATATTTTATGGTTTAGACGACCTGCACACAGAACTAATTTTTTTAAATCATGTTTGTTCCACACGTCTTTGGAAAAATAGTTTCAATGACTTTAACGTTTAACCATTAACATTTTCCTTACGGTTTACTTGTAATTGTGCATAATTTACTGTTACTATAAAAAAATGCACATGCCATTTTACAGATTTTACAACTGAAAAAATGCATTAATCTTTTTTTTTAAAAATTCCAACCTTGATAAAAACTAACCTGCATGTAGCTTTCTAGCAATCCTGAAGACAATTATTAGCTTTTTCAGGTGTTTGATGAGAGTTGGAGCTAAACTCTGCAGGACAGTGGCCCTCCAGGACTGAAGTTGCCCATTCCCGACCCAGGGTTAAAAGCAGGGCATGATGATGACCCAGGGTTAGGGCTGCCCGCTATAGTCAACTAGAAGAGGCTTAGTCAACAACTCCTCAGGAATTGGCGAAGTCATGCAGTCTATGACGGACAGATTGTTAACACGGTTGTCCATGTGTCGGGCAGGAATCCAAATGTTCGTCAATAATTCACCGACCTCTAATATGTCTTATCATTTAAAACATGCAAGTAGTAGCCCTGTAATTGGCCACGCTCTAATGTTAACCTAAATGTGCGCTATTATTTGGCGAATGTCCAAGTGTCCATGTGGAGATCACACAGTGAAAATAACTTAAAATACTGCATTTTTGGTTATACAGATAAGAGTAATACATAATTCGAAACTACTTTACTTTTATTTGTGTACTGAACTCGTGCTTTTGTAAAATAAAGAAAAATAGGATGTGCTTTCTGCGTCTCTATCTCTCTGCGTCAATTTCTTTGAAGCATGTCACAAATAATAGAAACATACTCATACAAGCAGATACTTGCCTCACAGACATTCAATGCGTCTATAGAAAGCTTGAAATATCTATCTCTGATTATGTACTGCAGCAGACTGAGAAAATACTAGTTTACCAATAAAATGTTAACATGTTCAGAAAGTCTCCTTGTTGCTTTTTCAACACATTCATTATCATTACTTTGAGTGTTATGCATGCGCTTGAGTGCTCATTTATATTTTAAAATGCTCAATGGTTTAGAATTTCTCTGTAATTACATTAGTCGACTATTCGCTTAAACGACTACTAGACGGTTCGAAAAAAACTTTAGTCGGGGGCAGCCCTACCCAAGGTTAAAGGTGCCATATGGAATAATTGAGGTAAAAATATCAAAAAAATGAGCTACACACATCAAAAGAATGAGAAGAAATAAGTGCAATGATGTCATTAAAAAACTGACAAGTTATAGTGCTGCCGAGATATAACCTAAATTAGCATGCTAAATTACTAGCCCCGGCCCGGCAGGTGTCGTAATACCAGTTTCGGCCATGGGAGGCTGTGTGCGGGCGGGCAACATTGCCACCAGCCAAACTGCAGTAACACGAGTAAGTCGTGCCAGCTTGTGTGTACTTGAACCTGATGTCAGTCGTGTGGAAAATACAGCCCACTACTAAATTTCAGTTCAGGGATAAGTTAAATAAATGATTGGGTCGATATTATGCATAAGGAATACATTTTGGTAAGTTGTAACATATCTTTCAACAGTGTTCGTGTTCTTTTACCATTAGCTAGTAGAGATGATCGGTTCACGTGCGCTAGGGATCTGTCGTCTAACATTTACAAGCGCCAAAACTGCATTTATTGTTTGAATTGCGTAATAAAATTAACAGAATCTGAGAGCTGAGATCGATCTCTGTGTCCTTTTCTGTGCATGACAAAATGGATGTGGCGTGAGAGTGTGTGAAAAGTTGTGTGTCTCGCGGTGAATTCGTGAGAGTTGGCAGCTCTGAAAGCCGCTAGCTTGATCAACATCAGGGAATGCTGTCTGTCAAATTAATTCAAACTAATGATAAAAATGTAACATGAATAAAAACGAATACCATAAACTAGAAATGCCTGGGCTTTAATTTTCCCATATCGTCAAAATGCACCGGCTTGTCTATGAAACGGCCTTTATAATTTAGTATTGAGATGAAAATCTCTGAAAATCTCCAAATGATCCACGTGAAACTGCAGTCTTCCAACCTTTTACTATTAGTTTTACTGATTAATATGCGCGAGGGAGACCCGCTCGCCCGTGTTGTTTGAAGACATGAATGCGCGCGGCCGCGGAGGTATTTTTCTGGAGGTATACTGCCCCCATCTGGTATGGAATATGGTGTATGATTTGATTTTTTATCCCAGAGGGCACCTTTAGGTGCAGTGTGAAAATTCCTATAAATGCCTTATATAATAATGCGATAAAACAATGTTTTTAGAGACCTACAATACAGGATAAATATCAGTTTGTGATCAAGAGCAAACTAAAATGGAAAAGGAGAACTTCAGTGACAAATGGTTCAAAATAAAATAAGAATTTTACAATGCAAACAACACTTTAATTTCCCTTTTTATTATTCACCAGTGCCCTTATCTGTCACTATGGGTGAGATTCACTAGTCTGTAAACCACATTCCACATCACCACACACCCTTATCTGACCACGCTTGAGAAGACCGTGGCTCTAAAAAGCTGTCAGTCACTCACCTAGATTTTGAATCCTGTAAGAGCTTCTGGACATCTATCTCCTCTTTCTTTAGGTTTCCAAACGATGACTGAAGTTTGCTGGAGCCAGTCCCCCCTATATTAATGCTCCCCGGCCCAACATCCGCTGTAGCACTTCCACTTTTGTTACCCACAACCTTCCCATTATACGACATAAAGTCTGTTTCAACCACAACTGTAGACAAAAATAACACTGTTGATATCAGTTCTCCCTGATTACACCTTGTTAAAAACATACATCACCGTCAACCAACACTGGTTGTAAATATAATTTTTGGGAACCATTTACAGAGAACATAAAGCTGGATGTGTTCATGGTAATACAGTCCCTTGAGAAAAAGAAATGCACTTACTTCTAGTAAATGTGCACTTCTAGAGTACTTTAAATGATAAAAGCATAAAAAGTGTACATGCACATTATAAAATATTAATAAAATAAAAACATTAAAGGTCAGTGTACTTAAAGAGAGTAAAGTTTCATGATTATGGTTCTTAACACACACTTTTAAAAGTGCATTTTGAAATAGTCAAATCAAAACTTTATGAACTTTTGTCGTGCTTTGAGGAAGTACACTAATTGTGAATTTTGATTATCATGCTAAAGCATGTGTACTTGATTATCATTTTTAGCTGTAGTGTAGTATTCAAATGTACTAAATTGCAACTTCATCATTACAAATGTGTAATTACATATTGAAATATATTACATAAAAGTTTCAATAGAAATTACATTTATAATTTATTTATCTTACCATTAGTCCATAGTTCAAAGAAAATAGAATTATGAAATTATGATAAATACATTTAAATAAACACATTTCCATTTAATTGCAATCAAGTATCCAAAAACGTTACATTGTGTTTAGCCTTTCAAAAAAGTGATGGATTAATGATCAATTCAAGCTTTCATAGACCATTTCAGTAAAGAGTGACAGAAAAGTTGCTCTGTACCTGGATTTATTGGATCTCCAACGAGAACATCATTTAGGTTGAAGTCTAATGTCAGGTACTTGGGCCGCTGCCAAAACCAGTAGCGATTACGTTTGATGACCAGGGACAGAGGAACCAGGCCATCCGAGTCATTCAGGCGGGTCAGTGGGATCAGGGAACCTTCAGTGTCAATCTCAGAGAGCACGTTCTTAGTGGCTTTTGCAAACATCTTTAATGCTGACAGGGAGGTGTTTGAGAGTCAGCTGGAAAAAGCACAAAACTGCCATAAGTGTATTTCATTTCAAAGTACTCCAAGTTCTTTGGACATGTAGCCTACCACGACAATGACAAGCACTTTGAAGCACCTTGTAAATACAATTTAAATACCATGGCACATGATTATTTGGTACACTATCCTCCTGGTTACACGTTACTCGGTCCTGGAGGGCCACTGTCCAGCAGAGTTTAGCTCCAACCCTGATCAAACACACCTACCTGTGAGTTTCTAGTAATCCTGAAGACCTTAATTAGCTTGCTTAGGTGTGTTTTGATCAGGGTTGGAGCTAAAACTCTGCAGGACAGTGGCCCTCCAGGACGAGTTTGAGAACAGTAAATTATGCATAATAAGCAACTACCCATTCTAACCCATTACTTGTTAATCCATACTAAATGTCAGTATTTAATTGTTATAACAAGGACACCTTAAAATAAAGTGTAAAGGAATATTTATAATAAATAATTCAGACCCGTAGGATTGCCACATCTGTTACCATGAACACTGTTCTAACGTTAGCTGAAGTTTTAATAAACGGAACAGGCATGTTGACACACTTATTCAAATAACTCACTGTGTATTTACGTAGCGACAACAATATTATGATGTCTAACGTTACTTCCGTAGTTACCAGCAGCAAACTCATACCTATACATAATTTAGGCGTACATTGAAACTGACACTAAAGAAGCCGAAGGTAACGCTGCTACAATGTAGCGATACTTATTGTAATCTTTCTCTTCAGAACATAACAGTTCTGACAAAAGCGCATTAAAATTAATTTAAATGAACTAATACAACTTTGCAGACAACCTAAAATTGGCAAATATGACCCCGCGCTTACCTTCGTCTGAGCTGAAGAGAGACTACACACTACTTGCGCTACTGACTGCGAAACGCTACATATATCAGCAGCTGAAGAGAAGACAAGTCATCTACTACTACTAACTGAAACACAAAAAAATACAAAGCGAGAAGATTTAAAACCGCCTACTGTTTCCTCAGCCCCGCCTACACGTATTTGATTGGCTCACTCCTAGACAAAGATGATTTCATTCGCAGCACAGTGTGTCAATCAAAGAGCAGACTTTTTATCGTTTGAGAGAGGGCTACAGTACTTTGTAAACAACCTGTAAGTTCTTTACAAAAGTTATCACCGAAATTCTTTGTTTTATTGAATTTGGAGTGTATTTCATACAACAACAAATTTATGGGTAACACTTTATTTCGATTGTCCACTTTAGACATTCGACTACTTGCCTACACTAGCCTATAAGTAACTACATGTCAACTAACTGTCATTAAAGGATTAGAAGACTGTCAGCTTAATATCTGCTAACACTTTATTTAGTTTGCTCCCCAACAGACATTCAACTGACTATAAATAACTTGGCAACTACAAGTAAACTTATTCTCCTAACCCAAATCCTAACACCTAACCATAACCTAACAGTCTACTGACAGTCTACTACAATATACTAATACTCTAATGAGAGTTAGTTGACATGTAGTTGAAAAGTTACAATTAGTAGAATGTCTAAAGTGACTATCAAAATAAAGTGTAAGCAATTTATGTAATTTAATCTAGCATACTGTCATATAGCAGGTTGTGAAAATAAGTAGCCTATATTACTGTCAGATAGAAATATCTACTACTTTGTAAAAAAAAAAAAGAGGAAAGTTTTTAATATCTGGTGTGGCTCACAGTAGGGAGGGGCAGCCTGGAGGAATGAGATACTGTCAATGACACTCTGGTTATATAAGAGAAGGTTTCTTTCTTTGTGTTCAGCAGCAGAAAAAAAATACAGGTTTGAAACAACGTGAGGGAGTGTAAATGATGACAGAACTTTCATTTTTGGGTGAACTATTCCGTTTAAGCAGTAATAATCTATTTTATTTTAATTCCTTTATATGTAAAGCATTTTAAATAACTGTTTTAATTTTCCTTGCTTTTTATTTTATGATTATCACTTTAAATTTGCCATAGTATATGATATATTCAAGATAAATAAATAAACTTGCCTTGCCTAATAATGTCAACAACACAATTCTAAAAACCTGTGGATCAGTATTTTTGCCTGTTGGCCTCATAAACTGCTTTCTTCCGATCCTTCAACAACATAAGGTCAAGACTATGACATGCCACTCTAAAACAATATATTTCTTCTGCTTTAAACATTCAATCTATGGTCAATCTACTTGTGTGTTTAGGGTGACTGTCTTGACATTTTCCTATAAAATTCAGTGGCATAACACAGAATTCAGACTAAAGCATCCTGGGCTGCAGTTGCCAAACGCATTGTTAACATACTGTAAGTTAAGTAGAATAATGGTGCCAAATGGTTTCTACAGCCAGACTTATGATGCATTTGAGAATCTCAGCCCAGGTCCAGAAGAATCAAAATGGCTTGAGTGGCATTCATTACAGTTCAGCGAGGTTCCTAATTTTGAATGCAGTTTTTTTTTTCTCAGTCGAACAAGGTTCCTATTATTGAATTCAGTGTTTTTCAAATGGCTCACTTCTTATTTAAACTAGAAAGTACAATTTTGACTAATTTACCTACAAAAACATTCTTCCAGAAGTTATGGCTTTAGACAGGAAGCAATTTCTAAAACTCATTCAAGGAAGCCGGGTGAGCTTCAAATTGGTAAGTTTATTTTGGAGGTCCTTAGAAATCTTTATTTAACTGAAACATGGCAAAGAGTGTGGTGAAGACAAGAGTTTTCGTTTATGTCATCTTTATCTTAGCCTATCCATTGAAACGTCCATTTCCAAACTTAAACTGTCTCCAACAAATATACTTACTTTGTTTTTCCTTTGCTTTAACTCATCA